TGGCCAGTAGAATGAACTTAAAACCTGGAGGCAAACAACCAAAGATGAGAAACACTGTTTTTGGATCAAATAATCAACATCAATCAATGGTAAATGAAAATAACGAACCAAAAGGGATGAAGCAGGTTTTAATTGAGCATGAATTGTGGAAAAATGGGTTAAATGCTGATTGTCAGTTATGTAAAGATAAAATAGATGATGAAAATCGTGTAGATTGTTGTGCGCGACGGATTATTTCATTGCAACCTGATTTTTTGGGGCAAAAAAGTGCATTAGAAGAGGTAATATTAGAAGCTGGGCATAAATGTATCTTTTATTCAAAGTTCCATTGTGAACTAAATTATATTGAACGATATTGGGGGGCAGCAAAAAGATATACTCGGGAAAACTGCAATTATTCTTGGTCAGGTTTGCAACGCACTGTTCCTGCAGCTTTAGAATCTGTTAACATAACAATAATAAGAAAGTTTGCAAGAAAGGCATGGCGTTACACGGATTTGTATAGAAAGGGGGTCACTGGTAAACTAGCAGAATATGCTGCTAAAAAATACAAGTCTCATCGTTGTATTCCTGATTATGTATTAACAGAATTAAATAAATAAATCGCGCGACGTGCATATAATCACGTGATTCGATATATAAATCACGTGACAATTCGCAATTTTAAATTTCGGACTATTGTCGTTTATAGATGATAGCCACCATAGTTAATGGAAAAATTTTTTCGTGTTCAAAACAGCTATGGAGTCTCATTGGAATACCTATTTCGAAGAAACACGACCGGGAGATTATCGTTTCATAGATTTTTACCATTATCGTTTACAACAAGACGACTTCACCTTCTCCTTCCAGAAGGAGTCTAACAGACTAAAAAAGAACCTTGATAATATCGTGAAGAATGGATCGGATGAAATGAGGAATAGTGCTAAACAGCTGAGTAATAGTTTTAAGGTAGTTTTTATTCGAGTTTTCTATAATTATTTTTTGTGGGAGGCTTAACACGACTAGGAGGGCTATACTTGCGCGCTGGCCCATCTGATGGCTTGTCGTTACTGCATATTGAGGTTATAATGAACTCTCTTGCGGGAAAATGGAACCCACACAACTACGGTGGCATCTTGCGTGTTGTTCACCTTACGGTCTTGCGTGTCCGTTGTGTCTGTTTTCAGATGTGCTTCTTATCACACTCTAATGAGATATGAGATATTCTAACTTTCACTAACTTCAGGGACACCGGGAATACTTCATGGATGTTGATGCGTTTTGGAGAGAAATCGAATTACACGAAGAGTTACAGCATATTGAGGTTTTTTATTTGCCATTTTTTTTCTGATCTATCCGATCAAACTTACGTCCATATTGACTGTATTCTTTTTTCATGACAATAGGAAGAAGCTTCCAGATCAATTATGCACGATACGAAAAAAGTTATCAATACTGCTATTGAAAATGCTCGTTCTACAATTGGGAACATAAATAATAGTCTGGTATGAATAATAATGGAATTAGTGTAAGGATAAACCTAAAATGACAGTTGTTTATCCCATTTTGTAGGTTAATCCAAGAAAGCGTGCAAAAGACCAATCTGATTCCGAAGACAACAAGCGAGTCAGTATGGAATCAATAAATGTTATTTAACTCACAAAAATGTCTTCTCACCTTTTCACATTTACAGATTAAGGTGACCCAGAGTTCATCCGCGTCTGCTTCCTCCACAACTGGTAATAACGAATTACAAGATAATATATATGATATAAAAGATGCGATCGTTGATGATGAGCGAGCAGTCGATGAATTTAATACCGAAAAAGTAGGGGGAGTAGATAGTTCAAATTATTCCGAGAAGGTAAGTGCTAATTATTTTTATTGTTCATCATGATAATGCTTTTGAAAAATCATTTTTTACAATACGGTACAGGCAAAAACGTTTAACGTCTCATTTGACGAGTATGTTGACTTACAAGATGAAAGTGAGATAGCTGAGCCAAGTGTTGAGGATGAGGAAATAAAATTTAATCTTAATGATATTTCGATAGAATTGCAACACGAGCCAGCAGTTAAAGTATGTCCCGCGTTGGATTTTTGTTTATATTTTGCGCATATCTCAGTTTTCTTCTTTTTTTTTAGTGGGAAGTCGGTGATATTAATGTAACAGATAGATTTCGGAATTATCAAAAAGATGTATTCAGGAAGGCGGAACGAGAAGGTCTAGATTACGGAAACATTTACGAATCTTTGTAAGTATTCTGAAATATAACATCCATATTTATAATGATTAATTATATCAAGATATCAAGATTTATTAAAATTTTTCGTCATTTCATTTAGAGCATTATCATCAATCATGGTTCTCCGTTGGCCATGTCCATATCCTGAGATATTTACGAATCGAGAATGGGCAGAAATTACAAAATTGAATCCGTATACCGTTAAAAACTCTCCGCTTCCACAAGAGATTTCAACATCCCTACATGAAGCAACTTGCAACCATTTCATTGGCGAAGATGTCTTTATGAATGGTGGAAAAACGAAGCTAAGTAGAGATGTAGCATGCTCATTCAATGATTTGTAAGTATGCTTGTTTCATCATATTTTGTTTGCTATCTACGAGTTTGTGGTTCACAAGGTTCTTTCTCTGATACATTACACAGATATAATGGCTTACCAATGGTCTCATCAAACATAATGGAAAAAATAACGGAAGAAGAGCACTGTTACATGTTTCTTTATCCAGTCACTAAACCCTTCTTTCTTAATCCGCTAAGGGAGTACAAACTTGTCTTGAATCGCGCTACACCAGGGTCAAGAAAAAGGCCCGACCTTTCTTGTGTAGTTGATGATATCACAATTCTCAACTCAGAAATAAAACCGCTAAAATGTACACCACTCCAACAAAAAAAGGACATCGTGAAAGCACAGTTGCGAGCTCGCAAATCGATTAATATGCAACTACAAGGAAAAGGCGGTCCGGCCGAAGCCGGTATATTTTTGAATATGGGTATGTGCTTACAAAGAAGTTGTTATATTTTACAGCATGTTACTGAATTAAGATTTTGTGATAACTAGGTGAATGGATGGAATCATTTTTCATGGACTTACAGTATGACGGATTATACCGTTCCTGGCCATTTCTTACAACAAAGTTGGCGGTTGAAAAGGCTTCAATCCCATTAGTAGAGTTTGCAATTAGTCATGTTATTGCTTTGGAAGTATGTGATATCTTCGCTTTGAGTTTATAATGAAATAATTCTCATGATTTTTACCTTTTGCAATGTAGGAACGCATTGCAAATCTTGCAGAGAACTACAAATATCGAGATAATCAAAAAATTCGAAATGGTCAAACCACACCACCTACATCTTTCATGCGTAGATTCCCAGATACTCCACAAGTAAAATTGTTACTTAAGTGATAAGGGTTTTAGTCGTAGTGAAATTAAAGCATTTTCTCCTGATAATTGTTATATCTCCGTATATTTAATACGTTAAGAGGCTTGGACAAGTGATGAATGCGAAAGTTTATTGTGTTTTATTTTTGATTTTACATATAATGCATCTGAAAAATAAAAAATGTACATACTTTATTGTATATTGAAAAGTGATCGGCGTTCCGTTTCAGAACGCGCACGTGATTTTTTTATGCTATGAATGTTCCCCGGGATGAAACTTGCCATTTTTTACTCAAGTGTAAACATATGTTCACAGCTACCGAAATTTTTCTGGATTTCAGATAAGCCAAATTTTACTCAGGTGTGATCCCCTGTTCACACTTGCCGAAGTTTTTCCAGTTTTTTGTCTGATTCTTTTCAGCTTTTATCATGTATAAGTCTATTCATTAGAACATTTTTAATGCTATCTAAAAACAAAGATTTCACACATGTTATAAAGTTATAGCAGTTACTTTTATACGCTCTAAAGGTTCCTATGAGATCAATTAATATAATACTAGTTTGCTAAAAATATTTAACAACTAAATAAGATATATTTGTTAATTACTCACCATAAAAATGTTATATTTTTTGACTTTTAAAGTTCTCACCTTTTCTGAATCTGCACATATTACTTGACTAGCAATTGGAATATTCTATGATAATTCAGAAGTACCTTTTCTTTTTAAATATTTACAAAAATGAGAAGCATATAAAGTAGCTTTTTCTGAGATTAGTTTTCAATTTGCGCAAGTTTCTCTATTTTATTCCTAGAAAGCAGTTCTTATTTTGATTTTTGAATACTTCGAAGACTGCTTACACCTTCATATGCATTATCAAACTAGTGCAAAAACCTTAAATTAGTATTTATATTAAAAATTTTGATAATAGAAAATATGCGAGCGTTCTCATCAAAATATTTCATATAAATTATCAATCATATGTAGCCTGCATAGCATATAACTATCAATGCACATGAATGGTATATTTTTCTTCATAAATCAGAACCAAATTCTACTCCTGTATATCTAAGAAATTAATGCAATTGATTTAAACCTGTGCCTATATGGCTATCACCAGTTTAATAATGACAAATCAGCAGAAAATGACTTATGTATACTTTCTTAGCCTGTTCAAAGTTTGGACTTTAATCCAATTGAGAAAATGTGACTGATATCAAGAAAAGCATTTGTGAAAGGAAAAAACTGCCTTCTAACCTTGCTAAACTTGACTGATATGTTAAAAAGGTATGACAAGAAATTCTATACATACTATCAAAAATTTGGTCAATAATATGCTATGATAAATCTAAGCTATAATTGAAGCAAAAGAAGGCCTGACTAAATACTGATTGCTTAGTATAAAATGTAGAGCAAATCTTACTTAAATAAAAATATTATTAAACTTATTTGATTAAACTTTAAAATTTTGTATTTCATATTGATCCAAAAAGTGTTTAGAGACTTTTAGCAACCTTCTATATATTAACTATATTAAACATATCAGATATATTAACATATTAACTATTTAAACATATTAAACAAGTTTAATATGTTTAACATTTTTAACATTCTGTACTTTGTCACATATTTATAAATCTATAGTCATCAAGATTAACACCTAATTATATTACTCTTTTTTTAGATTTCATTCTAATAGAAATTTCTAAAATATGATTAAGGAGATTTTAGTATTTGTTAGATCGGATTCAGATTATCGTTAGAAAATAAATATTTAAAATTTGTTTGCTTTCTAAATTTTCAAAAAGAAAATAAATATAAGTTAAATATTGATAATAATGTATAGTAATCATTTGACTTTAAAGAATTCTTTATACAGGTCTTATATTATCATCATTTAATAATTGTCTTAAAAAGAAAGCGTTTATTAAAATTTAAACATAGTTTTTCATATGTTATGCTCTTAAGAGGATTTAATAAGTGCATTTAATTTTCTCAGCATAAGACATATTCTCAGTATAAAACTTAAGTAATTCAAAAGATAGGTTTTAAACTTAAATCCTTTGTAACTCTTGTAAAATAAGATTGTTAATAATAATATGAGTTATTTTTCTTACAGATTTTTGTTTATCTAAACTTAATATTTATAATGTTAAGTTCGCTGATCTATAATGATAATCTGAAGTTTTTAATTAGTCCTTTCAAAATAAGGTTTAAGCTAATCAGCATATGTAGGATTTTTTGTCTAATATTTATAATTTATATATACTAGGTTATACAATACTATAGATGTAAAATGGTCTATCAAACTTATCCTTAAATTTGTTTCTATATATACACTCCCCTGAAGAAAATATCCGGGCACTCAAAAAAAAAATTTATTTTTATTAAAATATTTTCATATTT